TTCCGTATAGGATGCAGGTTCGAATCCTGTCAAAGGACGAATATTTTCTATGAAAAAGTAATGTTATACAAAATATGCGTCCTCCGACAGGAATCAAACCTGTATCGTACACGGAATTGTCATATAGTCTACAGAGGACGGGTCACGGGCACTCTAATATATATAAATAAATATATATATATATATATATATATATATATATATATGTTCAATGTTTTCGTTTATAAATATATACCTCTCGTCTATAAACCCATAAAACCGTTTTAGAAACAAGATTCCAGATTGCGCTAATTGGCCTTATTCAAACATTGAAAAGGTGATAATTTTAAAGTCGATCACGGATAAATGCGTATTTTATTTGATGACTTCCCTCTCGGCCATGTTTGCAGCGGCTGATGAATAGAACGTGACGTTTTGCGTGATTTTACGAGATTTTGCGAAAAAGGGAACATAACAAGTTTCGCTTTATTTTCCGGCTTTTTTATTTATTTATTTTTCTTTCCGACAATTTCCTGTTGCGCGTTATATTCCCCCAAGACATCGATTTTCGACGTGAAACTAACGGAAACATTTTCACGATGATTTTTTTTTAGATAGATGAAAAATTTGAATCATTAATAAACTTACTTTAGTCTGCCAAAGGGCCAGATTAGTTGCGCAGTTTATAATGTGTGAAAACACCATATTAAAAAACGGTGTTTTAGATTAGCTCGTTAACCAATGCTAAATATTGATTTATTAGTGATAGCTGGTCGTTCATACCAGAGTATGCCTGTCTAATAGGGCTGATAGTGAATCCCTGTTGCAGATGCCTGCTCAGGCAATTTTTTCTTTGTTGAATACCCACAGTGACAACCTGTTATTTATATTGCAATTATGCTGAGCCATAGTTAGAGTTTTCTGGGAAAAAGCGCATTATCTGGCGTGATAGGCCAGTACCTTCAAACCCTCAGCCTTACGCGATTTCGTGCTGAATATCGATAGTTTCCAGATAGTTCCGTCTATTCAATTTCACTCACAAAGCTTGGGTCCCAGGCCGATAATATCAAGAAGTCACCTTCCTGATAAATCGGCCATGATGAAATCCAAAATCTAACTTAGCTTTCTAACCGCTCGGCTTGATGCATATAGGTAGAAAAAAAATTCACTAAATACAAAAAAGAAAGAAAGACAGAATGAAACGTGAGACAAGGATAAGTCTTCTCACCTGACCTATTTAACCATTACAACAATTTTTTTACCACGATTTATTATTGCCGAGCAAAATCAAATATTCAGACGACATAATATTTATTCGGACATTTGGCTGACGTACATTTTACCGAATGGACGTTTAGCCGAATATGTAGTGGCGTACTTACATATATGTCACACTCTTTACCGTAATGTGCATATATATATATATATATATATATATATATATATATATATATATATATATATATATATTTTATTTGCTGTATTAATTTATAAGTTTTTTTTTTTTTTTTTTGACAGGCTTTTTTTTAAATCTATTCTGTATATATAATATTTTACTTCAAATATTAATGTAAGATGATAAGTATTTTGAGAATAAGCACATTTTACTCCAGCAAAAAAAACTTTTACGATATGAAAAATCTTTGAATTTCACTTTTAATGATCATTGTCTTAAAGGGATGAACTAGCTTTTATCTAACTGTTGAAAACGAATTTAAATAATTAAATGCCACTCTTTACCCAAATGCACTCAAATATTTTTAAAAATACTATTTCAATAAACTAATATTGAAATAAGAAAACTTTTAATTTTAAATTTAGATTTAGTAATTAAATCATTTAAAAATCAGTGGTAATTATTAGTCCTATTCTATCTTATAATACTGTTAATTAAAAAACTTAAACTGTTATTATTTTTACTCGTACTTTTTCGGTGAAATGTCACTTGTCAAAATGACTCTCGGCCAAATGTCCGTCGGCCTAATGGCCGTTCGGTGAAATGTCCGTCGGTCAAATGTCCGTTCGCCCAAATGTGTCTTGGCCAAATGTGCGTTCGGTCAAATGTCAGTCGGTCAAATATCCGTTCGCCCAAATGTCTCTTGGCCAAATTTCCGTTCGGTCAAATGTCATTCGGCCAAATGTCCGTTCGCCCAAATGTCTCTTGGCCAAATGTCCGTTCGGTCAAATGTCATTCGATCAAATGTCCGTTCGCCCAAGTGTCTCTTGGCCAAATGTCCGTTCAGTCAAATCTCATTCGGCCAAATCTCCGTTCGCTCAAATGTCTCTTGGCCAAATATCCGTTCGGTCAAATGTCATTCGGCCAAATGTCCGTTCGCCCAAATGTCTCTTGGCCAAATGTCCGTTCGGTCAAATGTCATTCGATCAAATGTCTGTTCGCCCAAATGTCTCTTGGCCAAATGTCCGTTCGGTCAAATATCCGTTCGGTCAAATGTCATTCGGCCAAATGTCATTTCGGTCAAATGTCTCTTGGCCAAATGTCCGTTCGGTCAAATGTCATTCGGCCAAATGTCCGTTCTCCCAAATGTCTCTTGGCCAAATGTCCGTTCGGTCAAATGTCATTCGGCCAAATGTCCGTTCTCCCAAATGTCTCTTGGCCAAATGTCCGTTCGGTCAAATGTCAGTCGGTCAAATGTCCGTTTTCCCAAATGTCTCTCAGCCAAATGTCTCTCGACCAAATATACATTCGCCCAAATGTCTGTTCGCCCAAATGTCTCTCGGCTACAGGAACTCCTGCAGAATGTCGTAAAGGGAAGAGAGAAGGAATGATTTATCAACAATTTTAAGAAGACACAGTGTTTTAACAGAGGACGGAAAGTGTGACATTGAAAGCCGAAGACGCATTGGGATAGCCAAAGATGCATTCCAATAGCTAAGCAAAGAAACAGAAAAATAGTGAGAATGAAAGAAAAAGGGTACTGAACTGCTATATAATATCCGTCCTCCTCTATGGCGATGAATGCTGGACAATCTCCTCACAGATGAAAAACAAAAAGAAATTTACACTATTTACATTATTCGGGCTATCGTTCTCATCTTTGTTGCCGACATCCATTAGACATGGCACGTGGAACTAGAACGGTCTACACCAGCGTCGAAATAAAGGGTTCGATTCGACATTCCCACCACCTGAAGAAGGCAGGAGCGTACAACGGCCGAAGCGTTGTGATAAATATGGCAACAAAGATGAGGACAATAGTCCGAATAATGTAAATAGTGTACATAATATCTCATCTCAGAAATATAGACAGAGAATGAAAGGCCGAAACGTTGTAATAAATATGGCGACAAAGATGAGGACAATAGTCCGAATAATGTAAATAGTGTACATAATACCTCATCTCAGAAATATAGACAGATACTGAAAGGCCGAAACGTTGTAATAAATATGGCGACAAAGATGAGGACAATAGTCCGAATAATGTAAATAGTGTACATAATACCTCATCTCAGAAATATAGACAGATACTGAAAGGCCGAAACGTTGTAATAAATATGGCGACAAAGATGAGGACAATAGTCCGAATAATGTAAATAGTGTACATAATACCTCATCTCAGAAATATAGACAGAGAATGAAAGGCCGAAACTTTGTAATAAATATGGCGACAAAGATGAGGACAATAGTCCGAATGATGTAAATAGGGTGCATAATACCTCATCTCAGAACTATAAACAGATATTGAAGGGGATTTTCGTGATTCTTGCGACAAATGGTGTCAATATGGCCTTTCTGAAAACATGGAAAATAAAGAAACTCAATTAGTTTCGTAGTTGTTTTTTTTAGTTATTAAATATTTTGTGGGATAGACAATTATGCTGTAACACGATTTTAACGTAATAATTTCATTTCAGAAATATAAACAGACAACAGAAATTTGTTTCTACAGAAGGATGCTGAGAATATCATGGATCGAACACGTGGGCAATGACAAAGTTTTATAAATAGTGGAAACAAAATTGAAACGTATACCTAACACCATGAAAAAATAGCAGAAATTTCTACAGTATATAATGAGGAACGAAGCTTTAGAAAATATGATACTTACAGGTCAGCTTGAAAGCCAGATAGGCAGAGGAAAACAACGTATAAGCTTCATTATAAGCTTGAGTAAATAAATAGCCGAAAAAGAGGTTTAGGAGAGATGACAAAAAGAGGAAATTTATTATCTCTACAAAGCACATATTATTGTGGAGAGACATGAAAACAACGTACCAGAATGGAAATGTCACGTACTGTAAGAAATGTCTTTACTGTTACAGAGTATCATATAGTAGATCCATTTGTTATACAGGAGGAGGAGAAAATGGACTTACCCGTGGCTCATTCTAGCTTCATATTTGAATACATAGCTCTTGCAAAGTCATTACAGAAGCAGATCATGATTGAACACAATTCATAGATGGTGAGCAATGCAAGAAAATCTGTGATCATTCTGGAGACGGTCATCAGATATTTCGCCGATATTCTATCAGACAAAAATATCTCAATCGCAAATGTTTACTCGTAAAACTCGATGGATAAAATTTCATTCAAATCAGAGCAACTGATTCGGGGCAATGCATTAACATCTGAACTTTATGCCAAGAGGTCGGCTTCATTGATGATCTGTCAGTTCGAAGTCATTTGCCAATTTAAGTTGAGCGCTTTCGAATGTCACCTTTATTATGCATATTTATTGGCACAGTTTCTAACTATGACTCATTTTTGTTAAACTCGTGTGCTGTTAGCGTAATTGTTATCAGCTCCCAAAATGAAATTTGAGAGCAGGGTTCCAATTACGGCACCGTCGGTTAGGATCGCCTTCACACAAATACCCCTAGGAAATACATGCGTCAGTGATCTGGATTCCGTAACATTTGCTGGTAACCAGAACAGCAATGAAGACAAAGGAAAACCACGACAGGATATTCCCCCAAAATCGATGACTATTCAAAAATAATAAAGTATATAATGGAAGTACATTGCATTTTTTAAAATTCCCAATTTTAACGTGGTTTCGTTATTGATAAGGAGCCCGTTTGTTGTGATCTTGAGATAGATAGATAGATAGATAGATAGATAGATAGATATGGACAGGTCCAGATACATAGATATGCATAGAACAAACTAGATAGATAGATAGATAGATAGATAGATATGAACAAACTGAGAAAAATAGATAGATAGATAGATAGATAGATAGATAGATAGATAGATAGATATGAACAAACTGAGAAAAATAGATATATATATATATATATATATAGAGAGAGAGAGAACAAGATGGAGGGTTAAGAGATAGATGAGATATATATATATATATATATATATATATATATATATATATATATATATATATAGAGAGAGAGAGAGAGAGAGATAGATAGATACATAGATAGATAGATATAGATAGAGTGAGTGAGATAGATAGATAGATAGATAGGGAAAGGATATATATATATATATATATATATATATATATATATATAGATAGATAGATAGATAGTGAGTGAGTGAGAGATAGATAGATAGATAGATAGATACGGAAAACGATATATATATATATATATATATATATATATAGATAGATAGATAGATAGATAGATGGATATAGATGGGTCTAGATAGATAGATAGATATGAACAAACTGAGAAAATAGATAGATAGATAGAGAGAGAGAGAGAGAGAGAGAAAGTGAGAGATATATATATGAATAGATAGATGGGAAGCTATATATATATATATATATATATATATATATATATATATATATATATATAGATAGATAGATAGATAAAAGAAAAGACTGACCGATAAATATTTAGACAGATAGGAATGTATATATATATATATATATATATATATATATATATATATATATATATATATGTAGATAGATAGATAGATAGAGAGAGAGAGAGAGTGAGATAGATAGATAGATAGATAGATAGATAGATATATAGATAGATGAAAGATATATATATATATATATATATATATATATATATATATATATATATATATATACACATATACACACACAGGCACACATATATATATATATATATATATATATATATATATATATATAGATAGATAGATAGATAGATAGATAGATAGATGCTTTTATTGTTTCCAGTATAGGCCTCGCTTCATATCGCTCCAATCTTTGACTTAACCAACGTGCAAACCGAACGTGACTTTTGAAACCAGCCATAGTGCATACTTTCTGCCATATTATTTATAACTTTCGGTGAGTCTGAGGGTCAATTACTGTTCCACACCCAGCTCTATCCACAGTAAACACATATAAATACTACTGATATTTTTAGCAAGCAATTCTGGTGCACGAATCCTGTTAATGTAAGGACAACGGAGATCACTTATTAGCGTCATTCTGTGACAGGCCTTCGAGATAATTACCAATTCCTTTTTTTAAATCTTGGACAATGCCAAAATTGTGTTACATGAACTTAATATTCTAAGACAAATATATAAAATAAAATAATGTCACGAATAACATGAAGATTAGCAAATTCGTTTCGCGTACCAATTCCCAATTGTCATGAATTATACACTAATTTGTCTATTACTAAGATCTCGTGACACTGATAAGATGTATTTTGTTAATGCGAAAGTTGGTAATTGATGTACTGGAATAACCAGTCACTCCCATGAATGATTACACTATAGGTAGTAAGTACCTATAAAGTCAACCGTCTACAAGAGACTCAGGAAGAGAATGAGAATAGTGTTCTCTCCTGTTCTTCATTGTCGAACACTTTGCCTTGAGCAGATAGAAACCCGGACGAGTCTTTGCGGAAGGCCAAAGTTTCGTCCGGGGAGTTAGACAGACCCTTAACCTGCTTATGCGGTTTCTAAGGGAATATTTTTGGCCGAGCCTAGGGGCTCGGAGAACCCACAGTAGACTCTGCCTTATGCCACTTACATCCCTCGTGGGGGGGTGTTAAATATTACGATAGTAAGAGAGAAGACGCAAGCACATCCAACCTTCCAATTAGTGGCACTCACTACTAGATTGACCTGTCTGTATAACTGTACCGTATTTCATATTGTACTTGTTGTGTACAATAAAACCTTTCTTCTATTATCCACCTGGTGTTAAGTATTTATTCTCTTAGCACATAATATAACAGCAATATCATTTTCTTCATTTACAAATTCTAGGATATGGTTAAATGCAAAATTTAGACATATTTTTTTCCGAAGTTCAAAAAAATTAAGAGCTGCTAAGTTTAATTGAAGAAAAATATGTAAATAATCCTTAATAATACGCAATTAATATTTCTTTTATTTCATTTGTTAAATATAGTTATGATTATTATATTCATTTGAATTTATCTGTGAAATATTTAACAGAGGGTGGAAGGTATGACTCCGAAGGTCCAAGATGCCTTCCAAAAGCTAAGCAGAGTACTGAGAAACAGAAAAAAATGAAAATGGAACTGTACTGTTACGTGATATCAGTCCTCCTACATTACAGTGAATGCGGACAAAGATAGAGAGATATCTGGAGCAAAGAAAAATGTAGTTCTACAATCTGAAGTCACTGTGGACCGAACATGTAAGCAACGGTGAAGATTTAGAGAAAATGGAAGCAAAAAGGGGACTTATACTTAACATCAGGAGGAGACAGCTGGAAATACTTGGCACATATTGAAGAAAAAGGGTTTGGAAAATCTTATACTCACAGGAAAGCTTGGAGGCAAGAGTGACAGAGGAAGACAACGTTTCAAATAACTGAGACATGCGGAAGATGCATGGCAGGTGGAAATAGAACAATCTACCCCGGTAGACGAAATAAAAGGTTCGGCTCGAAATTCCAATTACCTGAAGAAGGCAGGAGCGTACAACAGCCGAAACGTTGTGAATACGGCAATAAGGATGAAGATAACAGTCTCGATAATGTAAATAATCCAAGTAATCATAATACCTCACCTCAGAGATCCAATCGCCTGGAGAAGGCTGGAGCGTACAACGGCCGACACGTTGTGAATACGGCAATGAAGATGAGGATAACAGTCCGAATAATGTAAAAAATATAAGTAATCATATCTCATCTAAGAGACCTAATCACCTAAAAATGTCGGGAGCGTACAGGATAACAGTCCGAATAATGTAAATAATGCAGCTAATCATAATACCTTATCTAAGAGATATAGAAGCCGAAACGTTGTGAATATGGCAATGGATATGATGATAACGGTCTGAATAATGCAAATAATGCAAGTAATTTATAATACCCTATCTCAAAGATGCAATCACCTGAAGAAGGCCGGAGAGTACAACGGTTGAAACGTTGTGAATATGGCAATGAAGATGAGGATAAGATTCCGAATAATTTAAATAATGCAAGAAATCATAATTCCTCATATCAGAGATACAATCTCCTGAAGAATGCCGAAGCGTACGACGGACGAAACGTTTGTGGATATGGCAATAAATATGAGGATAACAGTCCGAATAATGTAAATATTATTTCTTTAACCATTTTCCCACTAGTATCAGGTGTTCTTATGTAACTAGTTGTTTTTGTACAGTTTTTCAGGTTCTCGTTTGTCATGTATTTACCTTTTGTTTTTGTGTACTTACAGATACATTTATCAACTTTGAGCTTTCTGTTCTCATTTATTTTTTTATCAGTTTATAGTTTAAAGGTTAGTAACTGTCAAATGGTTAGTATAGATATGTATGCTATAAATAATGACTCCATATTAATTTAGGTTTAAATCTTGATTTTAGATATATTTCTTTTTGCAATTTTTTCCACAGTTAACAAAGTTTTTGATATTTGTATTTATTTATGGCCACCACTTTTGTAATTTGTATTGCTTTCTAGTGTGCTTGATTACCCAAGCCCCCGCCCTCTCTCTCTATCTACCTATCTATCTATCTATCTCACGCACAGACACACAGACACATGTATCTTTTCAGCACTTCCTCGTTTTTAAAATCAACTGGATGAAAAAGTTTAACTAACGTTGTTGTAAGACTTGTTCAGAATATAAAGCTGCTTTAAAAGCAAAAGAAGCAAACAAAAAAAAAAACATGCAAACCTTCCGAAACAGTGCTAAACTATTCGTTACTGTCGAAATCTCTGCCTTGAGCAGAGAGGAACCCGAACGAGGCTTTCGTTTATGTGTGTTCTAAGAGAATATATTTGGCCGAGCCTACGGGTTCGGAGAACGCACAGTAAACTCGGCCTTGTGCCACATACATCCCTCGTTTCTGTTAGTCCAGAGTAGTTGCATTTTTTGTTCGGTAGCCTTTGGTCACCTCGAGGTGGTGTAATGGTTAGCAATCTTATCTCACTAGAACAATTACGACTGAGTAGTGAGGTCCATCCTAACTAGGTACCTCCTACTTTCGGCCTTGTGCCATATCTAAGTTACGTTCGGAGAAATCATTTCTGTTCCATGCCCTTGGCCAGCTAAGACGAGCTTTTTGCCCGATCTCACGTAAGCGGGACTGGGTAAATTTAAACCGGTGGCCCGAGTGCTGGGGTTCCTCACGTTAAATCAACGACCTTGTTTCAAAACCTAAGCCAGTGGTTCGTCTTTGATAAATACTGAGGCAAAGATCATATTGTTGTATTTTTTCCGTGGCATTGTATAACCATGTCTTGCTAAGAATAGCTTTGTTCTCGATTCTGCGTAAGCAGTGGCTGGGTAATTTTTGCCTTTGACCCGAGTATACACGCTCTTTTTGCCCACGACTTTGTGTCACAACCTTGGGGGGGGGGGTCGCTGGTAAATAGAGATCATATTATAGTATCTGTTCCGTGTCATTGTCCAACTATGTCTAGCTAAAACGACTTTTGTACCCGATACCGTTGTTTGTCCAGTGGCCAGATTGTACGCGCTCGGATTCCCCAAGTTAAAAACTGACATTTTGTCACAACCTAACCCATATAAATTGAACTGCACCACATAATTGATATTAAAATAACTGATCCGACGTGCAACTTTCTGATAATAACTGTGACATTCCTATATTTATTGAACAATTTAGTTCATGCTATATTGACTGCAAAACCTACCAGTACAAAAGAATTCTCCTATTACCAAATTAGTACAAAAACGCACAATCTTAAAATTTAAAAATTAAACCTCAGCGTTGCGACCGGACGCTCCCCCAAAAAATTCTTACAATTAACAATAACACATTTCTAAAAGCATTTTTTCGGATTACATCTATATTTTCGTTGTCGTGTTATTACCGAGAAGTAAAAAACAAAAACAAATCTATTTCCATACCTGGTGATGTCTGTAGGAACAGATGAAAGCTTGTAAAAAAACAAAAAAGACCTAATGCAACTGGAATTTATAAACAGGGAACATAACATTCATCTACAGGTTCGGGGTTAGTGTACTTTATTAAAATTGTTTGCGAAGATGTATTCTCGCCATTTAAATCATTAACTTCTATATCTGTTTTTTGTATGAATGATTCATGTAATATATATATATATATATATATATATATATATATATATATATATATATCAAAAAAAACATATATTTGATTTTTAGTTATCATTGATCACCGGGTGGCAAACATCATTACTATTTTCCTCGGTTGTAGCTGTCGCAGGACGTCCAGATCTTGGGTCAACTTCAAGACCCTCTCTTTCCCTCTAAAACAGATCTGCCCACTTTAGCACTGCGTCACCCCCTCCCCCAATGTAGCAACCATGTCAACATTAATATTCTTGAGGATTAAAACATTTTCTGCAGGTAATTGGAAGCAATATGATGCTAAATGCTATCCATTTACAAAAGTCTTTACGAGCTGACTTTAGAATTTTCTTTGAGCAGGTAGATGTCCGTTAACCAGGAAACAATACAGTTATTAATAAGACGAGTTGAAATGAATGCATGCAAGATGTTACAGCTAAAAGCACCACCAATTCACGATTAGCCTATGACCTATTCATCCCACCCTCGCAGGTTTTCAGCGCAGTATCGTTGGTTTTCGGTGCACCCTCGTAGATTTTCAGCCCACCCTCGTAGGATTTGAAAGCAGCCTCGTTGGTTTTCATCCCACATTCGTTAGTTTTTCAGTGCGCACTCGTAGGTTTTCAGCCCACCATCGTTGGTTTTCAGCCCAAACCTCGTAGATTTTCAGTGCACAATCGTTGGTTTTCATCCCAACTTCGTAGGTTTCCAGCTCACTCTCGTTGGTTTTCAGTACACACTCGTAGGTTTTCAGCCCCCCCTTCCTCGTATGATTTTCCCCCACACTGGTAGGTTTTTAGCGCACCCTCGTGGGTTTCATCCCAACTTCGTAGGTTTTCAGCGCACTCTCGTAGGTTTCCAGCCCACTCTCGGTGGATTTCAGTACACATTCGTAGGTTTTCAGCCCCCCCCTCCTCGTATGATTTTCACCCACCCTGGTAGGTTTTCAGCGCACCCTCGTGGGTTTCATCCCACCTTCGTAGGTTTTTAGCCCAACCTCGTTGGTTTTCAGCCCACCTCGTACATTTTTCAGCCCTTCCTTGTATGTTTTCAGCGCACCCTCGTAGGTTTTCAGCCCAACCACGTTTGTCTTCATCCCACATTCGTTGGTTTTCAGTGCACCCTCGTAGGTTTTCATCCCACCCTCGTAGGTTTTCCCCGCAGCCTCGTTGGTTTTCATCCCATCATCGTAGTGGTTTAGCGCACCTTCGTTTGTTTTCAGTGCACCTCGTAGGTTTTCAACCCATCCTCGTTGGTTTTCAGCCAACCCTCCTACGTTTTCAGCACACCCTCTTTGGTTTCTTTCAACAATAGACTCATTTATATAATGTTGTTCAAAGAAGTGGACAATAAATCTAGATACATACTGAATAAGTCAACGCGTGACTAAAGAAGAATTATATGAGCGCACCACAAAGATTACAGGCAATCTTTTCAAGGCGAGCGTGTGGTTTTATGATCATTGCTGGAGATGTAAATCAGAGATTGTGCATTAGCTTTATTCTGCGGAATTCAAATTATTGGAAAAGATGAAGGAATTGACCAGCAAAACAATGAGCGATCAAATCGGGGACGACACCACAATCAGCAAGGAAGAACTGGCGAGCAATATGGATGGCAAATGTGGTTGGAATGCAGTGGTTAGAAATGTATATTTGATGATGATGATGATGAGGAGGAGGAGGAGGAGTAGGAGACAGATAGACAGATATTGAACAGATTGAGATAGATAAATATATAGATAGATACTGAACATAAATAGATAGATAGATAGATAGATATTGAGTAGATTGAGATAGATAAATAGACAGATAGATATACATTGAACATAGATAGATAGATAGATAGATTGTGATAGATAAATGGATAAATAGACAGACAGACAGTTAGATAAATACTGAACATAGATAGATAGATATTGAAGAGATTGAGATAGATAGATAAATAAATAGATATTGAACAGATAGTTAGATAGATATATAGATAGATAGATAGACATTGAACAGATTGTGATAGATAAATGGATAAATAGACAGACAGTTAGATAGATACTGAACGTAGATAGATATTGAAGAGATTGAGATAGATAGATAGATAGATAGATAGACATTGAACAGATTGTGATAGATAAATTGATAAATAGACAGACAGACAGTTAGATAGATACTGAACATAGACAGATAGATAGATATTAAAGAGATTTGAGATACATATATATTGAACTGATAGATAGATAGATAGATAGATCAATGAATCACTCACTCAAATACTATAGGAAACAAAGAATGTGGCTAGATATCTTATTTTCAGGACTCTCAGAAAGAGAGATATGAAACGGTCAAAATGAAAGATATGAAACGGAAGGAGAGAAAGAAAACGGTCAGAATGAGAGATGAAAAAAAAAACAAAAAAAAACGGAATCAAATCGTACATTTTGCGCTTTTTTTCCACTCCAGAATCGAAAGTAAGGATATCCTGAATCGCACGGCGAAACATTAGCGTTCTAATACAGTCTACTTTTCGTGTAGACTTGTGATGATTAGAGTTCTGACATTCGGAAAGCATCTATAACGATTAGCGGAAATATAATAGGGTAATAAATTTGTCATCGTGGACAAGAGGGAACTATAATCTACAAATGATTGCATATGGGATGTGTTAATGTCCCTTGCTGCCGTGTCAAACCAAGAGAGATTCAGAGAAATACAGCATGGTGGGGGGAATCGAAGGAGATTCGAGTGAAAATGAGATATACGCAAATACGCTTCTGAAAGTTCTTATCGCTTGAGTGAAGACGACGCGACCCGCGATATTTTGACACATTTTCTGTTCCGTACGGGACACAGGTTGGTGTGAACCGAGACACTTTGTTGCCGAATGGACAAATGACCCGAGCTGACACTTTGATCAGGGGTCGATGGCCGTTAGCCCCCTTCAACGAGCTGACTAAATACAATGATTTGAACTGTAATTTGTATAAGCTGGAAGGTCACTTAAAGCCAGGTAGCGTTCAATATTTCGCGTCAGTCGTGACGTGTTCTGATGTAGCGAAATAGCTGACTCCAAAGATTTATTGGTCAATCAATCAGTTTGTACATTAAGAACAATAGTGTAAGATTCTGTATTCCTAATAAGATATCGTTTTAACACACTCGTGCACGCATATAAGAAATTTATATCAAATACAAATCAAAATTTGATCGGAGAAGAAAAAAAAAACTAGAATTATGATACACCTACATACATAAAGAAACAATATTTATTGTGACGTCGTCCCCCGGTCGCAGCGCCAACTGTGACGTTCTATCCTGATCTACCACGGCGCCAGTTGACGTCCCCAAACAGCACCACCAGACGTCTTCGCCGCGGCGCCAGCTGTTCGCTCCTCGCTGGTCCGTCCGGGTGTCGCTGCTCCAAACGTGACGTCCGCCTGTCGCGTCAGTCGTGTTGTCTCGTCCTATGACGACCAACTGGCTTGGTATCGGTCGCGGCACCCAAATGGACGTTCTAACCTTTTGGTGATTCGGGTGGGAATCTGGTTAGATTTGATATCAGCCTCGTCGTTCCCAACTCGCTTCCAACGCCTGGTTACCAAGGTAACTGCATTGATCTCCAGTCTGCCTACACACGTTGTGAATTGATCTTAGACAGACGAGATCAAACAGTGGTTAGGGGCCGTAATGCAAATTGAGTTCAACGGGGTGATACTACACAAATATGCATAAAAGAAATAAAGGAAAACTCAAAAGTTCAAAGTATCAAAGAAAAAGGTAACAAACTTTATGTCTAGTTGTTCGATACATAGGACTGCATCTATCTCCCGACCCGTTCTGTAGATTGTGACACGTCGTTTCCGCTAGGCAAGTTTTAACGCTTCAAGTTGTTTGCTCTCAAAGAAATTGGTGTTTCGGTGTGTCTTTGGACGAAAGTCGAAAACTTATTTCGGTGGTCTGGTTCTAAGTCGCTCTTCAAAATAATTGTTTTTGTGTTGAAGAGGAGTCTGGGATTTTTTGCGTGAATCTTGGTCAGCTATCTCGAGGCGGCTTCAACTCTGGAAAATCAACTCTGCCGCCAGGGCCCGAACTGATTTCTGCCTGTTGGGGCCTGGCTTTTATTGACGCCCACCAAAACCGGGGTGGTTCTGTTGGCGTCGGGGGGGTTTCTCGATAATTCTAAATACATATCCACCTCTTTTATTTCTGGTTAGGGATTTTCCACTCTTTTCCATTTTTGGTAACCCCTCCTCACTCCCACTTTCTCACCATACCTCTGAGGGGCGTGAACTACCCTCCCCACTTCTTCGTAGCAGCTTCTCATACTTTACTCTGGATGGGGCGTTGACAGCCTTCTTCGTGCGTCACGTGATCACTCTCGGCCAATGAGGTCTTGGTCGGGTATCTTTCCTCCTCCTTTGTGCGTCACGTGATCACCACCTGACCAATGATGTCTTAGTCGGGCGTGAACAATCCGCGGCTTTGTTTCGGGAAAAAATACCTTGCTTAACTAAAAAAAAAAAAAAATTAATTATCTCTTCTCTTTCCTTTTTCTTCCTTTCAAATCGCCGTTATCATTTCTCTAGCCACGAACGGACAATATGACATCTCTTGTTTTAAACGTGGTGTTTGTCAGGTAGATTATCGCTAATCTATCAAGACGGTTGGTTTTCGTAACATGGGTTCAGAAAAGAAATATCCCCAAAATTTTCAGTCAGTCTGTCGCCCCCAAGGAAGAAATAAAAACACTTCTGGTTCCCATTCATTTTCCTTCGGTACATATGTCTGATAACATAATTTTATTATCGCAGGGCGAGGTTGTTTCGTCAAAAAGAATTCAGTCAGCTGCACTGCTTGGGTGGGATTTAATTTTTCATATCTATCCAAAGTCCTTTTTAGTGTCCTGTTTCTTGTCACTTATCGAAATAGCATTTTCACTTGAATTTTTCCTGGGCAGTGGTCCAGCCATTCGTGTACGCACCTAGATAACATAGCCGTTATCAAAACACATCTGGTTCCTTCTTTCTTTTCCTTTTCCTTTTTTTTTACTCAGAAATTCCCTGTCATTGTAATGACAAACTTTTTCACTTGTTACTTATCAATATTTTCATTGTCTCTTAGGCCATGTGTGTGGCTGTTTTATCACCTACGATTCGTCTCGCTTTTCTTTCTGCCTTCCTTTCTTTCTCTTTCTTTCTCTGCCTCGTAAATGGTGCCACATTACGTTTTTCCAGTTAAGCTTGGAATGCGTTAATTATTTGGAAATTCGAAAGAACGAGTCGTCTCTTCTTGAGTAACTAACGCTGCATAACAAGTCAAATACACGTGAAGCCTGCTTAACCGATGAAAATTAAACAACGCAAAAATAGCCCCCAGTATTTTTCTCCATAACTCATTGCCTGACAAATCTTTAATCAAAGTGAAATATGTTAGATTTGTGAACGTCACATATTTGTTTTTTCTCTTATAGAACATATATATATATATATAAGGTTTGCTATATTTATGGGATAAAGTGCTCAATATCAGAGATAAAGCGCGTGTAAATATGAAAGTAACCACTGAGGTCAGCACTTAGAGGCGACAGTCTGTTTCATGATAGACGCAATCGTCAGGCTACCGATTGCGTTTAGCATGAAACAGACTATCGCCTTTCAGTGTTGATTTCAATATTCACTTTTATATATATATATATATATATATATACTTGGTTATTCAAAATATTGAACAAATTTCGACAAATTGTGTCAATTCTCAAGAATCGTCATTATATTGACCTTTGAAACCGGAGTTTTCTAAGTTTTGAATGGCTGCCCCAGAGGCGCTTTACTCTCGTCGTATCTCCGGCAATGTTCAGTTATTTGTTTACCTCTGCAATGGCGAGTCCTCAGGATAAGGCGTTCTGCGTTTACGAGTTCGAGAAAACAAATACGGTTGTCATGATGAAGTGTGCTTTTCGAACGCAATTCGACATAAATCCGCCTTCGACTAAGAACATTCGACGGCGGTTTAAACAGTTTCAAGAGAATGAGAGTTTCGGAGGAACAAGTGGCGAGAATTCGTGTTGCGTTTGACAGGAGTCCACGGAAGTCCACAAATCGGTCTAGCCGTGTGCTTGCGATCTCTCAATCCACTATCTGGCGTGTGCTAAGAAGACGTCTACATTTGAAACCTTACAGACTACACCTCGTTCAAGCACTTACAAAGACCTTGCTCTTTGTGCTTGGGCTGCGAGGTCCCCATACGTCACCGTGTGTGATTTTTTCTTGGGGGAGATACGTAAAAAATCGCCTTTATGTTCTACCGCTACCCACTAACCTCGATGACCTTAAACATCGAATAACAACAGCGATCAACTCAGTGGATCGTGACATGCTGATATGCGTCTGGGAGGAATTCTCTTACCGCATTGATGTTGCCTGTGCTGCAGGTGATGGCCATAATGAACAGTTGTAAGACAGGAAATAAAAATTGATGGTAAGTAGAATTCTTGCGACTTCAATTGAGTTTTCTATTGCTTTTCCTTGTTAAAATATTGTGTAATGAAATCGGTTCTTTCATTTTGAATATCTATATCTATATCTATCTCTCTCTCTCTCTCTCTCTATATATATATATATATATATATATATATATATATAAAGACATTTTTATGTTTATACATTCTTTTTTATAGATACAAAAATTTAAGTAAATGTATAAATGTATAATGTATAAACATAAAATGCCTTAAAATAATTGTCGGACTTTGTCTATTTCATAATTTGTGACGTCATATGTTTACATTTGGATACGCATTGAGAAGATATGAATGTACGTGAGAGAATCAGGGAAGATTGTAGGGCAAAAACAGTAAAATCGACCTTGCTAACCAAACAATCCTCTGTGGCTCAATCGGTAAAACCACGTCAGCCTATATGACGGTTCCGTAGAGGATACCGGTTTACCCTCCAGTCCGAGGTCGAATATTTTCTATGAAAATTTCTCGGACATTCAGGCCGGTAAATGCTGTTAATACTGTTTATTAGAAACAGAGCATTTACTTATATATTTGTATCTATAAAAAAGAATGTATAAACATAAAAATGTCTTAAAATAATTGTCGGTCTTTGTCCAT